ATATAGTTTATATAGGGAAATAACACTTTTCGGTATATATTTTATCCATTTTCAGCAGAAAATTGCTCAAACTTAGTCAGAATCATCTTGGGTAAATGAGAGTTTTACTTTGTAAAATTAGGATTCCTGCCCCATCCCCAGGGGCTAGGGCGGGGCCCCAAAGGGAACATTTACCAATATTTTCAAATTCTTATCCATTGATGACATGACAAGTATTGTATTTCACTTAGTTTACATGCTGATTTCCACATCACATCTAAACAATAAAATAAAGCTACCAGTATCTATGATATAACTCAGGTGACCGCTAAGGCCCTTGGGCCTCTTGTTTAAACTTCTAAACCAAGTTAGGGTTGTAACCAGTAGAGACTTTTTCCCATTAAATGTGATATCTACACAATACTTAATGAGATTATATGTACAATGTTGTAAAAGGAACAAGAGAGAAATGAATGAGTGATAATGATTTACTTATGTGTAACTGAGCTTTTTATATAAAGCTATATAAGTTCTGTGATCAATGTTGTAGAGGCTGAAACCATTCCAATACTGTATAGTGCTATTATTGTTGGATACTCGTTACCTTATTGATCGCTGCCCAGCTGTATCTTTGCCATTGCTGATAGTATATATACATTGTACTACTCAAGTTTATTATAGTTCTTTAGAGAGAGAAAATACGGTAGACAACCAACACAACACGTTATCAGCTTTATAGTATATTTACATCTATATATTCTATATATGTGTTCTCTTCTGCTTTATATTTCAATATCAATGATAACTACATATACCAGGTATATAATCTACAGATACTAAACATGAGATGATACTTATGATGATAAGTTCTTGATTATACAGAAGAAACTAGACCTGTTTGGTGGTTTCCAGAGCTAGAACTCACTTACGGCTATGTCTCGATACTTATTTTTCAATTCAACTTAACGAAATTGTGTTTTTAAAAATTGAAACTGTTTTGTAGTAATAGTTGTTCATAGATTAGCTTTATTACCGTAGATAAGTTGTATATCAAAAATGTTGTTTAAAATTAATTTTGTTTTAGACTAAGGTCAAAAAGTTTCAAAAAATATTTTGAAGTTATGATAACGAGCAAGTTTTTATATAATGTTTATATTGTTGTTTCATATACCGGTAGTAGTCTAGGATGAAATTATGTAGATTTTTTATCATGCAATGAGCTTCCTGTAGGTGATTCCAAGCTATTCAAATGCATAGTTTATTTACCTAGTTTGAGCTTTTACACACCTGTTGAATTACATTCAATGAAAGAAATTGTAATTGCAAATAACAATTTATCTCAATTCATGTGAATGTGAGGGATTTGATTAGCCAAGAAGCTATTCAATTTTTTCAGTTGTTTCTTGAGAACAATCTGCAAAATATGCAGTTATACTGAGCTGGTCATAAATGAGTAGCAATACTTAGGTCAAGTACAGAAATCGAGTTCGTCCATCTTAGTATTGAATAACTTGACATGTGATTCAAATTACATGTTGGCCGTGAAAGCCAGAGATACAACTCCACAGTGTTGCTTGTTTAATGAGTGCCTGTTCCTTATAATTGTTGGAAGTGCCGGGAGCACATATGATGTTGTTTTTTCACACTATTTACTGTATATTTTTATGTCATTAAATTAATACATATACATGATATACTGCCAATAAAATGATAAAACCAAATTTAAAAAGTTTTTCTTTGTTTACTGTTTCCATGCCGGTGACAATATAGTGCAAATGTATAAGTGACTGCAGGGACATGTGATGTTCAGGTGTGATCACAGGGACGTATGATGTTCAGGTGTGATCACAGGGACTTATGATGTTCAGGTGTGATCACACAGACTTGTCATGTTCAGGTGTGATCACAGGGACTTGTCATGTTCAGGTTTAATCACAGGGACTTGTCATGTTCAGGTGTGATCACCGGGACTTGTGATGTTCAGGTGTGATCACAGACTTGTGATGTTCAGGTGTGATCACAGGAACTTGTCATGTTCAGGTGTACTCACAGGGACTTGTCATGTTGAGGTGTGATCACACAGACTTGTCATGTTCAGGTGTACTCACAGGGACTTGTCATGTTCAGGAGTGATCACAGGGACTTATGATGTTCAGGTGTGCTCACAGGGACGTGTCATGTTCAGGTGTCATCACAAGGACTTGTCATGGTCAAGCGTGATCACACAGACTTGTACTATCCAGGTGTGATTACACAGAATTGTGAGATTCAGGTGTGATCACAGGGACTTGTGATATACCGATGTGATCACAGGGACTTGTGATATATAGGTGTGATCACAGGGACTTGTGATATACAGGTGTGATCACACTGACTTGTGATATACAGGTGTGATCACACTGACTTGTGATAAACAGATGTGATCACATGGACTTGTGATATACAGGTGTGATCACAGGGACTTGTGATATACATGTGTGATCACACAGACTTGTGATATACAGGTATGATCACAGGGACTTGTGATATACCGATGTGATCACAGGGACTTGTGATATATAGGTGTGATCACAGGGACTTGTGATATACAGGTGTGATCACACTGACTTGTGATATACAGGTGTGATCACACTGACTTGTGATAAACAGATGTGATCACATGGACTTGTGATATACAGGTGTGATCACAGGGACTTGTGATATACATGTGTGATCACACAGACTTGTGATATACAGGTATGATCACAGGGACTTGTGATATACCGATGTGATCACAGGGACTTGTGATATATAGGTGTGATCACAGGGACTTGTGATATACAGGTGTGATCACACTGACTTGTGATATACAGGTGTGATCACACTGACTTGTGATATACAGGTGTGATCACACTGACTTGTGATAAACAGATGTGATCACATGGACTTGTGATATACAGGTGTGATCACAGGGACTTGTGATATACATGTGTGATCACACAGACTTGTGATATACAGGTATGATCACAGGGACTTGTGATATACCGATGTGATCACAGGGACTTGTGATATATAGGTGTGATCACAGGGACTTGTGATATACAGGTGTGATCACACTGACTTGTGATATACAGGTGTGATCACACTGACTTGTGATATACAGGTGTGATCACACTGACTTGTGATAAACAGATGTGATCACATGGACTTGTGATATACAGGTGTGATCACAGGGACTTGTGATATACATGTGTGATCACACAGACTTGTGATATACAGGTATGATCACAGGGACTTGTGATATACCGATGTGATCACAGGGACTTGTGATATATAGGTGTGATCACAGGGACTTGTGATATACAGGTGTGATCACACTGACTTGTGATATACAGGTGTGATCACACTGACTTGTGATATACAGGTGTGATCACACTGACTTGTGATAAACAGATGTGATCACATGGACTTGTGATATACAGGTGTGATCACAGGGACTTGTGATATACATGTGTGATCACACAGACTTGTGATATACAGGTATGATCACAGGGACTTGTGATATACCGATGTGATCACAGGGACTTGTGATATATAGGTGTGATCACAGGGACTTGTGATATACAGGTGTGATCACACTGACTTGTGATATACAGGTATGATCACAGGGACTTGTGATATACAGATGTGATCACAGGGACTTGTGATATACAGGTGTGATCAAAGGGACTTGTGATATACAGGTGTGATCACACTGACTTGTGATATACAGGTGTGATCACACTGACTTGTGATATACAGGTGTGATCACACTGACTTGTGATATACAGGTGTGATCACACAGACTTGTGATATACAGGTGTGATCACACAGACTTGTATGCATTACAGTTATTGGGCAGATGTTTTAAAGGTCCCAGGTCAGATTAACTAGAAAAATGACAGATCAACAAGGGCCCAGCTTGTGTAAACTGTACCCCCGACCCCTTGGTCTTATTTAGGTAAGTGACATCAACTATGAACTTGAAATCTATTTCAACCCCTTTTGTACATAAACATATGAGTGTATCACAATGTCAAACCTAAGACAAGATGGTATCCCCACATGGTCTTATTTTAGCAAAAGTGACCTTGACTTTTGACACTTTTTAAAAACCCTATTACACATCTTATTATCAGTGTATTAACATGTCAAGTTTCAAAAAGAACAGTATTTCGGATTCTGATAGAATCTCCAGAAACAACTGTGGACAAAGACCCAATGAATACAACAGGGCATCAGCATCAAGCCCTAATAATGGGTTCTGCAACTAAATATTTCTGTCTAGATTGAATACAATTGCACAAGGTGTTCATTTTGTCCTGACCCTCTACTTTGCATTAAAGGTAGACACGCTAATACCTTTGGTACAGATATACTGTATATAGGCATATCCATCTACTTCTTCAAGTGGCAAAGAGCAAAACAACAATGGGATAAATCTTGTATTATGTTTTATTTCTATGGTGGCTTCCAGTATTTTGTAACAAACACTTGCACAAATTTGAACAAATAGTTCGCTCTCAAACTTACAAATAATTCTTTATAATTTCTGTGCAGAGTTAGATAGTATACAAGGCCAGCAAAAAATGAATTCAGTCTTTCCATATTTTCAAGTGTGATGTTGGCAAATGAAATTTTGATTAAATTCAGTAAAATCTTTTCTGTCGTTGCATTTTGTGACTTTACTTCGGTTCTTGGACATAATGTCGGACAACTACTTCATATTAAATCTTCTTAAATCTCGTATCAGCATATCAACCTTTTCACCACCGTAGACGATAATGGACTCATCCATATCAATGCATGGTAGAGTCTACTAAAGTTACGAAGGGGTGAATCAACAGATCTGGCTACCTGAATATGACACATCGATCTATGTCCACACAAGGGTGCTAGTGGGGAGTGTCATCATGAGGGTGCCATGTCCATCCATAACTGAGGAAGAAAGGGTGGTTATAAGTTACATGTAAAGGTGCTGGTGGGGAGTGTCATCACGAGGATGCCATGTCCATCTATAACTAAGGAAGAGCTGGAGGGAAAAGGGAACAACCTTGTATGAACAGGCATCCAGATGTGGGATCTGGGAAGGGGAGGGTGAGAGAAACTAGGAAATACCCCTCATGTAAGGACAGACACCATGGATTGGGTGGGGAGGGTAAGGGGAGAGTAAGGGGAGAGTAAGGGGAGGGTAAGGGGAGAGTAAGGGGAGGGTAAGGGGAGAGGAGGGAGAAGGAGAAACACCCTTGTAAGTATATACACCAGGGATTGGGGAAGGGTAGGGAGGGTAAGAGGATTGGGGATGCTTGGGTTAGGAAGGAGTAGGAAGCACACCCTTGATGTATGGACATACACCAGGGTATGGGTAGTGTTGTTTGGGAGGGAAAGAGGATTGAGGAGGGGTAGCAGTAGGGGACACACCCTTGTGTGGACATACAACATTGCTGTACTTTATAGTTAGGGATGATCAATGGATACCATTTCTCATGACATTTCATTACATTTTAAATGCATATTCAAACAAAACTAAAAGAAACAACTTAAGCTCAATAACTATAATTCCTGCATATATATGTGCACAATGTAGTTTACATGGTCTGTAATTGTCAACAAGGACCCATTGTTGGATCCTACTATATAATTTTTCTGTCAATAACCTCATAACGAATCTAATTCATAAAACAGGATACAAACATTTCACCTTGTAATAGCTTGTTCACAAATAAACGTTACAAACAAAATATGATGATCATCCCAACAAAATCACAAATGAGCACTTGAATTGAAGGGAGATAACTAGTTTCTCAGCTTTGTCCTACAAACACATAGTACTTATACACTTCACCATCTCTAGTGCAAAATTCATCAGGTTGGAAATGTTATCAACAAAAAAATGTACAAAAATTATCACACCACTCCCTACATTCTTGCTATCCAATAGGTCAAGGCATTTCAATAGTTTCAAGTAACCTTGCAAGGCTTTGTCAATGTTCGCATGAAAGCAGCATCAGATTACTAGGTCCGACCTTATTTCATAAACGAACAACTTTGGTCCAACCGGTTCAACCCGTTTGGATCGCGATATACGAGGTCACATGGATGTGCACAGGAGTTGCCTCCCTTCCCTCAATAAATCCTTTGCAAAATTATCTACAAAAGAGCTATAGGAACAAGCAACAAAGAAATGGCCTGTGGTGTGATGAACTTTTATATATCATGTTTTACAGACTAAATACAATATTAATCTGATTTGTGGGGTTTGTATCTTGGAATGGATGGCTTATAATCACCTCACCATATACAGCCATCCTAAATCAGAGCAATATCACATCCAGTTACTTCATAAATAATAGTATCGTTCCATTACAAACAGTATATACAAATTGCAAATTTTTAATAATGATACATTCTCTTGCTGTATTCCCTTGCTGTATTCCAAGTTTTTTTCAGGCCAGATATAAAAGAACCGGTTAAAACATACAACAGAACACTTATACTTGTACTAGACTGATCGATTTGTAAACCTGTAGACTATGCATTTAATTTTTTTTTTTTTTTACTTGATATGCCTTGTAATATTTCACTGATGTTAAGAATTCATGTCAAATGCAAATATGACAGACATGGAAGCTAATATCCTATTAAATAAACGATATTGTACAGTAGGGGACATTTTACCGATTTTGAAACTTATTTTGTGAATACAATGAACACTATTATGTAAATTTTTTAGAGCTTTCCCTTAACTTTCTGGAATTCAAACTTGTTTTTATAATAAATTCATATACTATGAGGGCCCAGCTACTGAACACATGATTAGCAGACAACTTCACACACAATTTTATTCAAGTATATTTCAAAAAGATTGAAATTGGAGACTAAATTTGCATGTATAAGGGATTCAAAATGACCACAAAAAAACCCACAAACAGGAAAAAATTCATAAATTATAACCAAAATAAATCCTATTTTGAAACTTTCAACATAGTTCTCAAAAATATTCTTATTTTGAAACTTTGTGTTAAATGTTAAATCATTCAGGCTGCCAAAAACTAGACTGAAAAAGATTTTAATCTGTATACATTTTTTTTAACCACATGAGGGTTTCAAAGAATAGGCATGTTTGTAGCTGTGTTATTTTGTATCTCATCAGTATAAAAGCTAGTCTACCAGTACACAATGCTGGAAACAGTGATCAAATCTAAACTAGAAAATTTGAAATAAATACATTTATCCTCTTCTCGACACTCCTATTCACAAATGTATTTACTCTCAGTCTCAACTTCGAAGAAAAGTAGAGTGCTAAAACTGTTGTTTATTTCAATTCACACTATAGTTGGAAATTTATAACAAATCTGAGAATCTGACATCTAATCTGGAGGGAGTCGACTCGAAATACAAAACCTTCTTGTTTGCAAAAAAAAAAATCCCATTTCATTTTCAGAGGGGCACTTTCACCCTGGTTGTTGAATGCCAGCAAATCAATCTCAATATTTCCTCCTAGGGCTACCTGAGGTTTAACAATACTGATATAAATTTCTGTCCTTAATCAGTAGCGATATAGAATAATATAATCTTTCATCCACAAATGGGTTTTTTCATTGAAGCCGGAGAGATAACTGATTTAATGTGATAGGAAAATGTTGTAGAGGACAGAAGCCTCAAAAAGGTTAGCGTGAAAATTGGTTATTCTTCACACAGGTACCCTGCATGGGTTGTTGTAATATAGATCTATTTGCTTTACACTATAAATAAGAATGTGCATAACAACTGTCTCTCTGAGGTAAATCAATTGGTCATAACAATGAGACAAATATAAACTTACATTTGCAACCTTACTGTTACAATTATTGCAGAATGTAAGCATGATTATTTGTCTGCAATGAATGCTATTCGTGGAACCAAACTTAGCAATGTACAAGATGGCCATGAAAGTACCAATATAAAATCAAATGTACTGTTAAATAAACATTTTCTAGTATTTAATTCAGGGCCAAATATATCTTGACAATTATGGTGATTCAATTGTACTGATTTAACAGCTACAAATTGGAGAGAATTTGAATAAGTATAATAGAATTATCGTTAAAAATACTAACAGGACTGAATTTTCAAAGAAATGCGTGGAAATTACAGTTACGATTCCAACAAAATTGGAATGGTTTATGTCTTAAAGTACTGGCATATATACATACCCACACATTTGTGCTTTAACTTAGAACAAAAGAACTGATCTGATTACCTCACAATGTCTGCAGCAACAATGCAACAAAGTACATGTATATTTAAAAAGGACAATCTTTAGAAGGCTGTCTGAAGTAATGAAGAGCAAATGAATATCATCTTTTGAACACTTGAAAGCTCCATCCCGACTTCATCTCCTGTAAATGTCTTCTAAATAATGCATATTCAGATAACACATATTTTCAATTTGTTTAATACGCATCAAAAAATGCAGAACAGTAGCTATTGGCAAAATTTGTTTTAATAATCTTGCACATTGCAAAATCTGAAAAAACACTTCCACTAATGTAGCCATATCAAGTCATCATGTCTCCACAGGAATTTGGCTTCAGAAAGATGTTTTATCCTCAAACAAATGGTGAAGAAGATTTTTCAGAAGTCTACACATTCTTTGTTAAAGGCCTTGAATGTGGACTTATCTGGCAATGTTACTTGTGAGTTGTAGTGTCATTATTTAATAGTCATCAAGATCAAAATCCTCATAGTCGTCAAATGTAGGCGTGTTGAAGATCTGGAAGTCTACCTGATATCGTAATATTCCTGAAAAGACAAATTGAGATAAAGTCGTATAAGTTATTTGCCATTTGGAAAGCATAGAAAAAGACAATAATGGAATAGTATCTATCTGTCAAGTTTTCTAAACCCTGAAACAGGTTCCAAGCAGAGGTCTAGTAAATGTGTGACAGCATATGACCTTATGATAGTACATGTGTTTAAGTAAAAAAAACACCAATAAAACAGTATTAGAAATTGCATTCTGGACAGGCAACAATTTTTATTTTCAACTTCTTCGTTTGACAATAACCTTGTAAAGGGGTAAAGAAATTATTTCAAGTATTACGTCAAATTTTCCATTACATTATCCTATACTATATTTGTTGAAGTTAAATTTAATGCTAGATACACGAATCTGACAAAATTCTTCCACATTTGAAACTCAGCAGATTCAGAAATTCATCCAAATTGTAGAATAAAGATCAAGATGGAGTCACTCACCTCCTATTCCACCAAACCCTCGGACAAACTGTGCTCCCTCTTGTGATTTGTCTGTGATAATTTCTAATGTGGCACCTGTTAACAGATAATTAACCATTGAATTATAGCACCTGACAACAGGTAAACATGTCTGGGATAACTTCTAAGAGATATAGAACCACTCGACCATCTTTAAAGGGTGGTATGGTGGGGCAGTGGATAACATTCACCTTTCACCAAGGAAGCCAGGTTTGTTTCCCCGATGTCACCTGCTGACAAGAAGGGGTTTCTCTTGTTTCATAATTTTTTCAAAATAAATTAAGTTTGTATCTATACAAACAGATAAATTTACGATCTATTTGCATTGGAATAGCCCATTGATTCTTGCTCCCAAATATTCTTTATGCTTTTGTTGTTTTGAAAAATCTTAACAATTATCATCAGCTTTATGAATTTTTAATAGAAATAAGAGTTTATAATAACTTACCAAACTTTTTATAATTATTCGCAAACCATTCAAGCAGAGGCATCTGTTCGGACAACTCCAGTTCTACACCCGTCTGATAAAAGTATATATTACATATTACAATACAGAAAACATGATTGATAAAATAATTAAATATATTCAAAACATATCAAAATATTCAAATTTTATCTAAATCTAGCAAGTGTCACTTTGTGTTTTAAGATCCACAGGCAATCTCCACAGAAATAAGTGTCATATTAGTAGAAATGGCAGTCTGGAAATGGTAAGGTGAAGTTAAGTTGGCTTTCTTTAATTTCTTAATTTTGCCAGAAGAAGAAAAAAAAAGAGGTATTAAATGCTTGATACCAATAGATATATGGCAATGTCTTATTACAAATGTATTTTTTCCCCTTACCAGATGGTGCATAGTTTTTGCATCCATAAAAAATATTTTCACAGGATCACAACAAGTTTGTACTTATTCTGTACAAAGAATCGTAACTTACCTTTTTAATTTATTAGCTAAGTTAATATAACTTTTCTTGCTGATTATTTATATAGATTTTTATATTTTGTTAAATCAGTTTTGAAATTTTGTTTTGTTACTTACATCTTTGTCGATAAAGTAAGTTTTATCTTTTTCTTGTTCCGGTTTCAGATGGAGAATGTTTTCAACTAAAATACAAAATTCACACAATTGATTTAATCAGCTTTGTTTCAAACAAATGAGAATGTAAAAGTTTACAAATAGATCTTCCAAGTTGACAGAAACTTTCTAACTGGTCCATGGCAAATCTTTTGTTTTAAAGAACAGCAACGACTTTCCAAATGTGTCTCGCCTAATTATCTTTGGAATGGTTCATTATGAAACGAAATCTCAGAGGGTGAATTGAGTTAAGAATCATTTAGTAGTTACCTTCTGTTTGGTGATTCTTCAGAACATATCTTGTAATGTCCAGATTTTCCCAAACAATGAGAATATCAACTGCCCCCATTTCTAAAGCTCGTAGCGTGTCATCCACACCAAAACAATATTTCCCTGTGTCTTGTGAGATTTCGTCAAAATATCTCCCTGGAATCGAAGTAATACAAATATTATGCAAGTTCCAATACATGAAGGCTTGAATTTGGATATGTGCATAATAGGACCTGACCAAATGGTGATTTTCTACACAGCTATGAATTGTTGTTATATACCTCACGCTCAACATTTCTTTATACGTGTACTTCACGTCTAATCATTTGTACTAGAGCTACAGACATTCACACTTTATACATGTACTTCACGTCTAATCATTTGTACTAGAGCTACAGACATTCACACTTTATACATGTACTTCACGTCTAATCATTTGTACTAGAGCTACAGACATTCACACTTTATACATGTACTTCACGTCTAATCATTTGTACTAGAGCTACAGACATTCACACTTTATACATGTACTTCACGTCTAATCATTTGTACTAGAGCTACAGACATTCACACTTTATACATGTACTTCACGTCTAATCATTTGTACTAGAGCTACAGACATTCACACTTTATACATGTACTTCACGTCTAATCATTTGTACTAGAGCTACAGACATTCACACTTTATACATGTACTTCACGTCTAATCATTTGTACTAGAGCTACAGACATTCACACTTTATACATGTACTTCACGTCTAATCATTTGTACTAGAGCTACAGACATTCACACTTTATACATGTACTTCACGTCTAATCATTTGTACTAGAGCTACAGACATTCACACTTTATACATGTACTTCACGTCTAATCATTTGTACTAGAGCTACAGACATTCACACTTTATACATGTACTTCACGTCTAATCATTTGTACTAGAGCTACAGACATTCACACTTTATACATGTACTTCACGTCTAATCATTTGTACTAGAGCTACAGACATTCACACTTTATACATGTACTTCACGTCTAATCATTTGTACTAGAGCTACAGACATTCACACTTTATACATGTACTTCACGTCTAATCATTTGTACTAGAGCTACAGACATTCACACTTTATACATGTACTTCACGTCTAATCATTTGTACTAGAGCTACAGACATTCACACTTTATACATGTACTTCACGTCTAATCATTTGTACTAGAGCTACAGACATTCACACTTTATACATGTACTTCACGTCTAATCATTTGTACTAGAGCTACAGACATTCACACTTTATACATGTACTTCACGTCTAATCATTTGTACTAGAGCTACAGACATTCACACTTTATACATGTACTTCACGTCTAATCATTTGTACTAGAGCTACAGACATTCACACTTTATACATGTACTTCACGTCTAATCATTTGTACTAGAGCTACAGACATTCACACTTTATACATGTACTTCACGTCTAATCATTTGTACTAGAGCTACAGACATTCACACTTTATACATGTACTTCACGTCTAATCATTTGTACTAGAGCTACAGACATTCACACTTTATACATGTACTTCACGTCTAATCATTTGTACTAGAGCTACAGACATTCACACTTTATACATGTACTTCACGTCTAATCATTTGTACTAGAGCTACAGACATTCACACTTTATACATGTACTTCACGTCTAATCATTTGTACAAGAGCTACAGACATTCACACTTTATACATGTACTTCACGTCTAATCATTTGCACTAGAGCTACAGATATTCACACTTTAAGCAACACTAATGTAATTTGTACTTTACACCATACACTATAAATAGGTTAGTAATACATATATTTTAAGTCTTTTTTTTCCTGCAATGGCTCACCTATGAGTTTCTTTTCCTGAATGAATTTGACATTTGCTAAAGCGTCGGCTGCAAGTTCAATGGCCTGATTAAATCCATTCTCCCCACCATATGACACATCAACAATCTTGATGATTTTGCCTTGCAGTCTCTGTAAAACACAAATATATCATGTTGATGAGTTTGCCCTGCTACCTTAACCTCATATATTATGCCAGCAATAAGATTGTAGGATGTTACAGGATCCGTTTGTTATATTTTTTGTTTACTTTGTAAGAACCAGGCACATTTTAACAGCTTACAGTTAAATGGATTGTCAATAAACACAGATAATTCACGAACGCTAGCATGTTTAAGAATGACTTTTTTTTGTGCAAATAGTGAGTTGCTAATTCAAATTGCAATTAATCTACTTGAACCATAAATAAAACACTTTTATCAGTTATCAACTGAGATTAAGAATGAACTATGTTCAATAAATGATAACAATTGACATGTAACATAGATTCCAGGCACTACATTATACTTACAGGGTCAAACATATCCGACTGACTCAGTTCCGTTTTGAAATCTGCAGAACCAGCCAATACTAAGCCTGCGATATTTGGTTTATCGTTCGTAATGAATAGTGTCACAGCCACCTCGGCAACTTTTCGGACATAGTTGTGTCGTTTTTCCATACGGAGACGGGCAAAACGCAGAGCGGACTGTCCTCCTCTACCTGGTAACATGAGTATGAATGTGCATTTTCATTTGAATTGAAATAAAAAATATATCTTTTTTTTTTAAATTCAACAAAGAATATTGTGATAAAGCTGCTTGAATGTAAGAAAATATGGAAAGAGGTTTCTTGAAAACTTTACCATTATTCTGAAACTTAATACACTGTATTATTTTAACTGTATATCTAAACTTGAGAAGTTGAAAAAGATAGATCAACCAAAACCAAAGAAAAAGGTGATTTGCTTACCATGCTTTTTTGGTAAATCAACTGTAAACTTGTGTAGAACCTCTCGTGTATTTCCTGATAGCGTACCAAAGAGGGCACCATTTCCATCCATAACAATGAACCCAAATTTGTTGTCATCTGCTAGCAGGGCTGTCAGGGCCTATAAAATAAATTCAATTGTCCATGCCGTTCAAATTCGGAAAATATTGTCGCATTAATTTCTCCCTTGAAGAATCAATGACAATGAAAATGATCAATAATTTCACAGCTGTGACAAACTGTGAATGTACTAACATCTCCCAATAATTATATATTTTTAAAATTCAATACATTTTATCAGGAGTATTTAGGGTCTTGAAATAATGATAATTTGCAATGAATTATAGCAACTGATTAAAAGATTTGAGGAATTGTTCTGTCAAGAGTGAACTGACCAAAATATTCTACAAAAGTTACAGGAATAAACTGACATTGACCAGTTTCACTGATTTAATTTCAAACGTGCAACTTTTGAAATGGGGAAAGGTTTTGATATTTTACTTACCTCTGTATGAAATGGGAAAGGTTTTGATATTTTACTTACCTCTGTATGAAATGGGATAGGATTTGATATTTTACTTACCTCTGTATGAAATGGGATAGGTTTTGATATTTTACTTACCTCTGTATGAAATGGGATAGGTTTTGATATTTTACTTCCCTCTGTATTAAATGGGATAGGTTTTGATATTTTACTTACCTCTGTATGAAATGGGATAGGTTTTGATATTTTACTTACCTCTGTATGAAATTTATTATCACAAAGATACAGAGATGTGTTGATAGGTCTAAATGGCTCAAAGTCAATGTTAACTTTCTTTTCTTTTCCTTCGTCTGTCACAATGGTACCACAGTATATCACCAGACCGTTGGGCGGAACTAAGGATGCACAACATATTTAACAGTTAACATTTTAACTAGGAGAATTGAAAGTGTATCCTGAAACCAGAAATAACAAGAGAAGAATTAATGGGGTGGTTTTTTTTTGGGGGGGGGGGGGAATTTCAGAAATGGATAAGGTCTTATTAACACAGAATTACTTGTTCACAATTACATGGTATACACATTCAGTGTAAAAAATAATACATGGTGTAAATTGAACAATCAACACTTTTAACCTCCTCTCCTCCCCATTTATCATGATGTACTTATCATGGGGTACCATTACTGAATGAGTGACCTAGTCTTGGATTAAATAACGTTGCTGGGTATTTGCTTGGCCATGATAACTTGACCACTGGCTGTAACATTTCTTCCCTCAGTACATACCTTTGTTGTATAGTTTGAGCCGCTGCTGTACTGACGTGATGGCTCCCAGCACAGATAGTCTGTTCACTCTACTCTTGATGTTAGATGCAGTACCAAACTCATCAGCCAACATTTTGGACACTCTGGAAATCTGGTCTTTTGGTGGAATGATCAAGGAAATCATACTTGTGCCATTTCTAAGGAGAGAAAAAGTTCATGATTATACAGATTTTAAAACCATTTCTGATTTATTATGAAATTAAAACCAATAAGTGACATATCTTCATTGATTTGAAGACGTTTTGATTTTAAAGCATCATATAACCTCTCCCTTGCTTAGACAAATGCACTCAAATCTTCAGAATTCTTTTCTTAAAGACATAAATTAGAAATGTAAGCAAATCATAGTGTTTGTGTACATTGATGATATTGTATTTCTAAAGCAATTAAGGAGGACCCTATTGAACGCAAACTATGTAGAAAAATTCTAGTAAATATGTGATGTTAGATATCCAGCATTGATACTGGCTGGTAAATCTAATAGGATAAATGGGACATATGCCAGATAGACTGGATGGATGGGACATATGCCAGATGGACTGGATGGATGGGACATATGCCAGATAGACTGGATGGATGGGACAAATGCTAGATAGACTGGATGGATGGGACAAATGCCAAATAGACTGGATGGATGGGACATATGCCAGATAGACTGGATAAATGGGACATATGCCAGATAGACTTGATAAATGGGACATATGCCAGATAGACTGGATAAATGGGACATATGCCAGATAGACTTGATAAATGGGACATATGCCAGAGAGACTATGTCGGTTCATTTTCCTGTACAAGGATATTTAGTAAGCTTTTATGTTTTGTGCATGCTTTTTTTTAGTACAATTCAACACAAATGATCTCAGTCCAATTGTTTGCCAGATCATGAAGTGACTGGATGTTCCTGAATATATTCTGTATAAACATGTGATCTGACATCATTAACCATAGCCTGTGACATCAATAATGCACAACACAATGAGTTCCCAAACCTGGGTCAGCCTGTGATTAGCAGGTGCTCTACTCTTGACTTTCTGAATTAATCAGATCCATTACTGTAACTGATCTTTCTTTAACTACTCTTTTATTTTGAAAATGACTTTCATTTTGTTAATAATTTCCTTTCATCATGATACATGCTCAATTAAAGGAAGCTAGGATTTTTTTCTAAGATTTCTGTTTCACTAGAGATTGCGGACACACAACTTCTGACAATGTATCTGTCAAAGCATTACCATGGACATCCAGCCTAGCGTCAAGTATCAATGGTTACTTCGGTAAAACAACAATTTTTATGTTACTTGACATTTTTTGTTTAAGAATTTGTTCATTTGGTCAATATATTGCCCATTCTGCATTCAGACTGTTAATCATAATATTTGTTATAAGAGAATGTTAAATACCACCTTGGTTTTCAAAGTCATCACACCCAATCAGTTTTTAGTTTGTTTGTGTTTTATGTCCTAGTAACAGCTATGGTCATTTATAACGATGTAGGGGCTGCAGTGGCCATGTGGTTACGGAGGGATTAAAGTGTCTGAAATTCTGCTACCAATAGCCCTCCACCACTGGGTCGCGGGTTCAAGGCCTACTTGGGGCAGTCTCCAGGTACTAAGCGTAGGTTAGTGGTTTTTCTCAGGGAACTCCAGCTTTCCTCTACCACCAAAACCTGGCACGTCCTTAAATGACCATAGCTGTTAACAGGACGTAAAACACAAATAAACCAAACCAAACCAGTTATAAGGACGTGCCAGGTTTTTGTGGTGGAGGAAAGTCGGAGTTCCAAGAAAAGCCACCAACCTGAGGCCAGTACTTGGCAACTGCCCCAAGTCAACATTTCACACAGGTTTTTGCTCAACGAGTTCTGGTTTGTTCTGGCAATGTAATTCAGCCAAATGTTGCCCCATGTAGACCTTGAACCTGCGACCCAGTGGTGGAGGACTGTGTCAAGGGTTCAAGGCCTACGTGGGGCACTGATAAACATGTTGTTTGTCGATGTACCTTTGTATGAAAGAGCATCAATTTCTTTTTGATAAAGATTACTTGTAATACATGGATTAATATTTCTTGACGGGTTCGTCCCTTAGACGTCAAAGAGACCTTCAGGTGAGCAAAATCATGTGAATTCATATAACTTTAAATTCCATTTCTAATATGAACAATTGGAAAGTTTCAACAAGACCCTTTCTTTCGTGGACTAGGCGACACCAGGTTTCCCAATAAGTCCATATCATGATTATGTATATTAAATGAATTTTTTCTCCATTAACAAAATATTTGACAACATTAAGAATCTATAGAGTGAAAATTAACACGCAGTTACAGTTTGACACGTATTCAGACAAGGAATGAGACACATTTGACAGTCAATGTGAAGAAATTACCCTCTAGCTGCTTCTAGACTTTTTATCAATTTTTTTATCTTCCATATTTCGACGTTTCTATCCGCACTGCTTTCTCCGTCTGTACCGTTCGATGCCATCTCTGTCGGCTTAGAAAACTTCCCCGATACGAAGTCCTTATGATCTGCCGTATGGCGGGATTAATCACAGAAACTCGTCTCTTTAGCACTAGATCTCAAGTCTATAAGTGTTATTGTGATCTACCGGAACACTTGATATCTGTTTCAGTTATATTTTGTTGTTTACGATCGTAAGAACCCAAAATACAACTTTTTGTCGTGTGATTGTGCAATCAAAGCCGTGGGTTCCCTCTGCGCCATTGACCATGTGAAATTTCTGACGTCAAAAGATGCCCGGGCTCGGTCAGGTACGAATTTCTGTGGTTAATATTACATTTCATATATAATTTCGAGTGTAGTTAACAACCATGCAGAAATGTATTTCACACGTAAAATTTGTATAAGAAAATAAAAGTAGACATGTTTTATTTTATGATAGTTCTCAATTATATTAACTACCAATCAACACGCGATACTTTCAAAAGGTCAAAGGTTGTAATGGCGGCTTCCATCGAAAAATGTGTGTGTGGGTGTTTATATTTTAGAGGTTCTGGCATTTTTAAACAATAATACTGGCAAAATTGTAAATGAGAATGGTACTTTAAATTCGAATTTTGTCGACTTAAAAAGACAACTGGATAAAACATTGACTGATTTAACGCTTCCGATAACGTAAAGTGCCACCAATAGATTGTGCACGTGCATTTTACTGACACGAGTCAATCACGTGGCACAACAAGGGTTTTTACCTCATTCGATTTTATAGAAAAACGTTTGATGTTCTTATGAAAGTTTATAATGTAAATACGATAGCGGTTGCTCTCTAGCTTAACTTTGGCATTATTTTATTTTGAGAGAGAAATTAATGAATAAAAATGCTATTAGTGTGACGTCATAAAAAAATATGTATTTTTCAGCCCACCATCTGAATTTTACACAAAATAAGACCCCCTTTAGGACTGTAATTACACATTTCAGATTTTGGGATTTTTATCGGAAAAGTCAGACGGCCATCTTGAAATAGTTGAGAAAGAGTTTTTCTCAAAAAGCAGAATGGAGGGATCTAAATTATCAATTAAATTTCACATGAAGTTTTAGGTTTCTCATATGTACCCATTGAAATTCCACATCAAATTTTGAGCCTTTAATCAATGATGGATGACAGGTGGTTTGTAAGCATTATTTCTCAAAAGTCCACGATTATCCTTTTAAAATCCTATCATAAAATTTTGAGACTGATCAGAAAACCAAAATGGTGGCCATTTTTAAATTGGCTCCCTGGCACTATTTCTCAGAAATCACTAGAGTGACGTACCCTTCTCATATATTTCGTATGTAGGGTTATTTCCCTTGGTCCTTTATTTCATTAGAGTCTAACACTGGATAAACAGGATACAGATACAGATGGCCACCAGAGGGATAATAATCTTGAATTTTGGCATTTTAATTTTGTTATCATTTTTTTCTCAAGATTTTCCTTGAGAGATCTTGACTCAATTTCAAATGTTGAATTTCATAGCTCATTTTGAGGCTGCTCACAAAAGCAAAATGGTCACCAGGCAGCCATCTTGGATCCAACAGGTCCTCATTTGTTATCATTATTTTTCAAGTACCCAGGTACTTGACAGATCTTTCCTAAATTTCAAACTTTGGTTTACCCTTTTACACAATGAATACTTTGTTAGTAAAGTGATCAAATGATGATGGTACAATGGTGGGCACCAAGATTCCCTGGGATACCATTGTTTAAGATTGTTAAGGTATTTATCTAGGCTCATGTCAGTGTATAAAATGTGTTATGTTCATAATTTACCTCATACTTCTTCATATTAAATAACCAAAGTGCTTCAGTGAGGGTTTCACAGTATGAGGGAAAATGATGAGCCCACAACAAATGTTAAACACTGATTTGAGCACAGATGAAATGCTTTACTGGTAATTGGACTTGGTTAACTTAAATTTGAAACTACAATTTTACAGTTTTTCATAATTAATTGCAATTAAGGGAATAACTCTTAACACAAATCATGGGCGCTTGGATCACATTGGACTGTCCTGCCATATGCTCAAAAAACATTATTTTACTGAAGTGGACGATCATGGTCCAATTGGTCACAAGTACAGGGTGTCAATCTAATTAAAATCAGATCTCTCATTACGCTACGTAATGAGAGATCTGATTTTAATTAAATTGAATGGGTGTAAGGTAGCATATATGTTACATTGGCAATTCTAAGGTGCAGGATTGCAGATTTTTTTGGCCAAAAAAGATTCTCACTTGAGTAAAACTTAAGTATTGGTTGTAATGCATTAAGTGTTTTACTAACCACCCTTTTCTTACAATATAGATTATAACTGTTATAATTAATACTACTATATTTTGAACAGAATCAGCAAACTACAAAAAAAAGGTATTCATATCTGTGTAAACAAAAGAAGCAGAATTATGCCCAATTGCAATGCAAGCATGGATTACAGCTGTAATTATAACTAGGTAGAATTATTTCAACATGAACTTGCCTGTTTTTTTCAAGGTACAAAAGAAACCAGTGGATCCAAGGAAGATAATCAGATTAAATAATAACATTTATGATCCAAGGGAGATAATCAGATTAAATAATGACATACAAGGATCCAAGGGAGACAAACCATGATGTAGGATTCAAGTGTCAAATTTTAATGTGAGAGGTCTAGGGAGTATAATTGAGGAAAGCAATGTCTTAGGGGGATATACCTTATATCAAGTGTTTACTACCAAGGGAGATAATCAGAGAAAATCCTGATGTGCGAGATCAAAGATGTTGCTGCAGTGCCAAGAATCTGTATTCTTGTTCTGTCTGGGTTACCTGGAAGTGGTAAATCTTCCCTGGCTAGATACTTAAAGACTGGTCATGTCAGATCATCTGGTGAAAAAGAAACTGTTACAGACATTTGTAACCCTACTCACAAAGTTAAATCAGTGTCAAGTGAATCACAGGGGCAATCAGAGGATGGAACATCATTCGACAATGAGGTGGCTTATGACAGAAAGAAAGACAATTTGTATGTGCTTCTTGTATCTTATGATGATTTGATACCAGAGGACAGAGAGGTTAAAATGATTCAAAGCAGTGTAAGTATTGTAATGAATAAGCTATACTGTACTACCAGGTTTGTTGTGATATGTAATTATATATGGCGGACTGTCATTACTTGGTGTGAAAAAGTTAAAATATCATTAAGGGATATCCATATTAAACATACCATTTTTTTTAGCTTACCGGGTCCGAAGCACCAAGGTGAGCTTATGCCATACTGTGGTGTCCGTCGTCCGTCCGTCAACAATTTCTTTTAAACGACTTCTCCTTCTTAACCACTGATTGGAATTTAACTAAATTTGACTGGAAGCATCCCTAGGTGGTGGGGATTCAAAATTGTACAAATGGTGGGGCTGACCCCCCAGGGGACTAAGGGGCGGGCCAAAAAGGGTTGTTTGGCTATATTGCTTTAGCGACTTCTCTGGAACTAAGAAGTGGATATCAACCATATTTGACTGTAAGCATCCCTAGGTGGTGGGGATTCAAAATTGTACAAATGGTGGGGCTGATCTCCCGGGGGGCTGTAGGCGGATCCAAAAGGGGGCAATTTGGCTATATTGCTATAAACGACTTATTCTGTAGAACTATGCCATGGATATCGATCATATTTGGTCAGAAGCATTCATGGGAGGCTGGGATTCAAAATTGTATAAATAGTATGGCTGACCCCCCGGGCTAAGGGATGGGGCCTAAAAAGTGTTTAACTTGTAAATGGTTGAGATCCCCACCATATAGCCATATATACAATTGCTGAGTATAAAGAGAAGAATGCACATTTGCTTCCAGGATGGCCCTAGGGTCTGGCCCCACCCTTGGAGACATAGTCCCTGGGCCATAACTTTAAAACGGTTGAGATTCCCACCCCAAAACTATATATACAAATGCTGGGCATAAAGAGACAAATGCACTCATGATATTAGAATAGACCCTGGGGTCTGACCGAACCCCTAGGTCCGATATTAGAATAGACCCTAGGGTCTGACCGAACCCCTAGGGACCTAGTTTCTTATTTATTGCTTGGAAACAGTTGCGTTCCCCACCCTATAACCATATATACAAATGCTGGGCAAAAAGAGACAAATGCAGTCATGATATTAGAATTGATCCTGGGGTCTGGCCACAACCCTAGGGACCTTGTTCCCGAGTCACAGCTTGGAAACAATTGAGATCCCCATCCCATAACCATACATAAAATTGCTGGGCATGAAAAATCTAATACAGACTGGCATATTCCCTTGGATCTCATTCGGAGAATATTTTGCCATGATTGCTTAGATATCCAGGTGAGCAATACAGGCCCTATGGCATTAATATTTTGGTTCCATCACCTGATACTTGTTTGTGATGTCATCTGTTGTTGTATTTCAAGTGGTTTCAACGTTGGCTCATGCAGTTGAAAGATTACCTGTACCACTGCTATTCTGATGGTGCTCAAATTAAGTATACATCTGTGGCGGCAAATTTGTGGAACATTTTTAACAGTTAAACACTACACTAAATACGCTGTCTGTGTACAAAAAAAAAACGAGCATATATTTAAAATAACAAACTGATGAATTTAATGTCAATTGTTTAATATAGACAACAAGTATTATCAGGACATCAGTTTTATTGGTTTAATTATTGCTTTGACATGTAAAACAAATATATCACCTGCACATATTTATTTTGGAGAACACATCTTTCCAATAATGCTTTGGAGTTTTCAGAATTACCCATTAACAGTGAAAAGTTGTATCACCTCATTATAATATACCAGAAGTATGTAGCAAATTTTAAGTTTATATAACTTTATATACCTGTATCTACTGGTATGATTTTTACAGTTTCAGAATTAGTTCATACACTGTAATTTCTTTTTCTTGGTTTTAGAATTGAAAGTCTTGATATTTCTTATTGATAATTAGACAATACAAATTTATTTACAAAATCAAGGCCATTGACATGCCGTTGAAATTTGTTCATGTAGAGCAATAATTAACAGACTTTCCACGGAGGTGGATTGCTCATATTTTTAGACCCTTTTTTATTGGTTTTACAGGTTGAACTGGAATGGAAGGAATCTCGAGAGAAGATAATTACTTGTGTTGAAAGTCTGGTGCGTGGTTTGTTGTCAAATATACAGTTGAAAAATATGGACAAGCCAATTGATGATGATGCTTTGTGGGAAAGATTTTGTGATGTCATTCAAACACAGGAAGATAGTTTTACAGAAACTAAGGGAGATAAATCCAGGTCATATGTTGTAGTGATTGATGACAACATGTACTACAGGAGTATGAGATATAAATATTTCCAGCTGGCTCGGAAATGTACGTATTTATAAAGACTCCTAAACTATTTTGTATTATGAATATACTACATCATTTCCTGATTTAAACTATTCCAGTAAATTTATTCTGTCAACTTTTTTGAGTAAATTAGTTTGCTCGTCCTATTGCCTGATCAGTGTGCGACAATACAGTAAGTATGTATCACAGTTTATGAACCATAACACAAACAAAACTTCTAATATGTAAATATATTTTTTACAGATGAGCAGGGTTTCTGCCAGGTACATCTTCAATGCACAAAAGAGATAGCCAAGGAACGCAACAATAAAAGGAATGTCAGGAGAGTTCCGGATGAGGTCATTGCTACAATGGCAACCAAAATGGAAGTGCCAGATTCATCTGTTTCTCCCTGGGAAAAACATTTTATAACATTAAAATGTTCTACAAATTATCAAAGGTTAAGTAAAAAACAAGTATTATGATAATGAAATACTAAGTTTGGCTATGAATCTGTGATATGGTGTTTGGTGCCTTGAGATGTTTGAACTGAACATGTTTTCATTGTTTCCCCTCCAGCCAGCTGGGCAACCTTGACAGACTAGTACAGTCAGCTATGTCTGACCCTCCAAGGTCAGTCCTGGAGGATACTGAGGGCAGGGAGGAAAGTCAGCAGATCTGTTCTGTTAATCAGCTTCATCAGGCTGACCAGATACTCCGCAAACTTGTTGGTAGTCGGATCAAACGGACAGGTAAGAAATCATTTATAAGGATCAGACATTTGTAGTACAAGTAAAAGGGCGTGCAGGTTTCAGAAAGGTGTGGGTATTGTAGATAAGATACAAGTAAGGGTTCAAACAGGTTTACCGTAATACAGGTAAGAGGGTGAACGGGTTTAATAAAGATAATGGAGGTAATACCTCTTTAATTCAGGACAACTTTTAAGATATCAAAGGATATACAACATATATACATGTACGTGTATAATATATTCATTCAGCTTTATTTAGTGAAGTAATTCCCAGAAATAATTAAACTTAATTGAGGAATATAATACATGTTTGGTTTCTTCTTGTTAATTTCAACATTTTCTTACATCTTAGTATAAGAATGGATCAGAAGGATTTTATGTACAAATATGTCACTTTGGCATGGGATGGGTGTATGTGGTTCCACTTTTGCAGCGCTCTTTAAAACTCTTTCCTTTAACTCAGGTGCTGCTATGTCACAGCAGGCACGGGGCCAGTTTGCCAAACTTTGCAGCGTTTTAAAATCACAGATCCTAAAGGAGCTGCGAGGTGGGAACATTCTTGTACCAACAGACATTCCAATAATGGATGCCTCAAAGATGGAGGATTCCCTATTCTATAAATTTGTGGAAGCCATTTTCATCACCAGATTACAGGACAGTGGATATTGATGGAACTTTAATGAATTTGTTAGATCAATTGATTTGTATGTGGTACTGTTTGTAATTAAAAGTATTTCTGTTTGATAATCATGTTTGATTTCATTAACCATGAAATTATTGATTTGTTTAAACAGGGCAGGAAGTATTCTTGAAATTAGTTCTCCACATATATGTTGGGAAGTCATAGAGGTCTGTCTCAGGTTTGTACATGTCACAACCTCTGACATGTCATGACCTCTGACTGTCAGTTTTAAAATCACAGATCCTAAAGGAGCTGCGAGGTGGGAACATTCTTGTACCAACAGACATTCCAATAATGGATGCCTCAAAGATGGAGGATTCCCTATTCAGCTTGTCTTAGGCTTGTAAATACATACTGTAACCTATGTAATGACGTCATTCCCATAGACACAATGTCAAATTTTTATGTAAAAAATTGTTTTGCCAATTAATCATTCATGGTGAGAACTTTATAAAATAGATGATTATATAAATAGTACCAAGAAAACCGCTAGATGATTTGTGGTGAATTTCCTCAACTTTCAACCAAAAATGAAGCCAGCCAAAAAAAATTCCAGAAGTAAATTAACATAGAATCCAATGGGAATATGGCATATCACTGTATATATATGTCATGATCTCTCAGTATAGTTAAGATCTAGCTTTGTATATATATATGTCATTACCTCTCAGTAGAGGTCAGATTTGGCTTTGTACATGTAACATATATGTCGTGAACAGGGCACTTTATTGCTTAAAGCTTAAGACTAATTTCTTTGAGATTACATTGGACACCATACACAATATGAAATGATGAATATAATATATAGATATAGATTATATATTGTCTGCGAGTCAGGGTTCCTAATATACACACAGTAGCCAATTATACCAGTGATAATAAGGTCAAGGGGCCGATTTCTTAACAAGGAGGTAACATTTTAACTTGATAGGATCCCATATACATGTATACAGGTAAAATAGCACTCCTAAAAGGAGTGGGAGACAACCAGCGTCCTGGTTATCTTCTGTCGTAGATCTATTGTTGTAGGTATCCAAGATGGATACCCAACAGTATACAATAGAGCCCCATCACAGAAGGTAAATACAAAGGATATAAACGATAGAGCCTCAACATCTGGACAGTGTTATTAACGGCCGACGTATTCTGATGATGTATACAGGTAGTGCTGCTTTCATGATATGATCAACTTGTTAAACAAAGGATGAGCTTATTACCAAGCACCGACTTCTTATCACTGCTACAATATGGTACATGTAGTAAGAAATAACACAATTCTAGTACGCAGCTTCAACTGTTTTATTTATTCAAAAATAGTTATGTCAAGTTCTGGAAGGTCAAGTAACCAAAGAGAGTGAGAGAGAAAAAGAAAAGAGAGATTGCTTTAGATAGAAATAACTAGGTAGCATGTAGAATCAAACTTGTATAAAGTAAATTACATCATGCTTTATATCATCCATAATATACTTGTTAGTAAAATATGAGTTTCAAAAAGTACACTTGCCAGGTATTTCATGTACAGTAAAAAGATCCTAATTACCTAATCAATAACAAAATGGGTTGCGTTGATACATCAATGGAGTTCTTCATTCCAAAACATTGGGGGAAAAGTCGAAATGCTTTAAATTTTAATACACCTAAATGTCAGTATTTCGTATGGTCAATGAACACACTATGCATCGTACACCAAAAAAGAAAAGTAAATACTTGATTCATTATGATTGTATTAATTATGTACTAATATATATTTAGTAGGACCAGTGTTAAATGTCCTGATGAGCTTTATCACATTAACTCATTCACCCCTGAAGACACATTTGAACTCTTCCAATTCAAAAGTTGGAACAGTTCATTATGGAATTTCAGGGGTGAATGAGTTAATTACATGTGAATCAATAATATTCAATCGATTTCCAAACAGGTATCAATTTCCAAACAGGTAGCAATTTCCAAACAGGTAGCAATTTCCAAACAGGTGAGACACCTGCCTTAAAATTTACATGTAATGTACGATTTTATGTCTACAAATACATGCTGGTGACACTTCTTTAGCCTGAATATCAATTTCAGGAGGGAAAAAAATAATCAAATTCTCATTAAACTAAATTAATCATACTTTACCAGAAAGTCAACAACTTAAGTTGAAACAGTATTATAAATATGGAAATACGACATCTTATACAGAAACATAAAAATTTAATGTCACACATATAAAATCATCTTCTCCCGTAGAACTCAATTCTGACAAGTCAAACATATTTGGAAACAAGTAATATTAACCAAATTCAAATAATCTATTTAGGAATACCCGTTTTTGTATAAAGAGGTTTATATAGCACAACCAGTAAGTGTTGCTATATAGACCTTTCTACTATCCATACTTACCAACTTGAAGAAAATGTTCAGAAATATAACCTTTGTGTTTTGGTAAAAATGTCATTAAATTTTCCATCAATTTTCCTACTTGGATAAAAAAAAAAACCCACATCTCTTGACTTCGTAGGCTGCTTCTAATAGGTAAGCCCCAGTTCTTCTATTAAGTTTTCACTTTTTAGAATTGGGATGACAATTAAAATATGAACATCTGTTCATGACATGGCGTAATATAGGTACGTGTACATGTATTACTTCTATAAAATGATGACAAACCATTAAAAAAAAAAAGATCATGCTTATTTTCAATAAAATTATTCGGAAAATCATTACCAGTAGTTTATCAAAGGGATTACCATACAGTGATACTTCAATTCAACTTGTATAAATAAATAAAGGAAATGGGGATGAATATGTTTTTATCAATGTAAATGATTTTGGCATGGAGAGATAATTGCAAATTCAAATATCTCGCAATTTTTTTTATCTCGAAAAGGATTCAATAAACATAATCCTAATTAATATGATTATGGAAGAAAACCCATGAACGATAATAATAATCACAAAGAGGAAATGATTTAACAGTAATATAAATCAATATTTGAAATAGTCTGCATTGATTCTGATTTGTGAACATCTAAGCTGGATTACAGGTACAAAGTCCTGTAACAGAAGGCGGTTACATCTCAGCCAGATATTACCGAGACGAGGGTCAACTCAGTGAGATATTGTCGAGACTAGGGACGTCTCAGTCAGATATAGCTGAGACTAATGAAATCTCAGTCAGATATAGTTGAGACTAATGGCATCTCAGTCAGATATAGCTGAGACTAATGACATCTAAGTCGGATATAGCTGAGACTAGGGATGTCTCAGTCAGATATAGCAGAGACTAGGGACGTCTCAGTCAGATATAGCCGAGACTAATGACATCTCAGTCAGATATGCTAGCTACAGAGCCATCTATGAAATATAATGGAACCACAAGTACAGAAACTACAGTCAACAGAAGAATGGCAATATAACTACAGTGGAACCCCGCTTATTATGATATATTCTACTTGCCAGAGAAAAATATCATTATAACATATATCATAATAACCGATCAAGCTGTTTTCGACCATTTTTATGTTGTCTGAACCGGAAGTTACATGCCCTATATGAATCAGACATAGATTAATGTGGAAACAAGGAAAAATATAAATACAAACTGAAAAAGTAACAATTGAAATAATTTGATCATTGTTATTTACATCAGTGTGTTGGGAAAATTTGAGAAGACTTTGTTTTGCCGTCGTAATGATCAGTATGTAAATTCTACTTTCACTTTCAAACATATTCCTAAGAACTATCTTTATACTACATCCTAGCTAACGATATTGTAATGTTACAGTCAATAGGATGAAAGAAGTGATATTAATAATCATGATTTACCTATTTTGCAACAAGAAGTTGCTTTACATTTTGTCCCATAAGTGTCAAAATATTTTGCCACGTTATGTCAATTACAATCACATGACAATCACCTGCCTCGCAAGTCGTGCGATAAAATCAACTTGCAAAGAAACAATAACGATTAAAAACACAAAATATTCCCATTTTAACAATAATCAAATATTGTATTTAACGAAAATTGCGTATAGGGAATCAACTTACTGAGACATTTACATATAACTTAATCTATTTCATGGTGACCAACAAAATCATTGTCTAGTGAAACCAAGCACTGGCTATATAGAAGCTATTTAGGGTAAAAATAGGTAAATGATAGCATCAAAATCATATAGGTGTGATGAATACCGGTAAATGATTCAATCTGAACCAAATTTTACAAAACTGTATTACCTTTTAGTACTGACTGTAAAAATCATAATGATCAATACAAACCATAATGATCATAAACTTACATTTATAATTAAAAAACGATTGTATGCAGGCCGTAAAGTTATTTAAGCGGATCCAAATTTTAGCATATCATCAAGTTTTAACAAATTAACGTGCTGATAAATTGGCACAGAAAACTATAAGCAGAAACTGCTAATTTAAGAGTGCAACCATATTTTAGTGCAATATTTTAAACTCGAAAAACCACCAAAAAAAGAATACCGCTAAAAATGTACATGTTAACAGTATGTAGGAATGAGTTTTAAAAAACCATTGTGTTAAAGTTTATGACAAAACAAAGATTATCAATATCCTCCTTTTTTAAAATTTGACTACAGAAGAAATTCGAGTGAAAATGTTTGTATTTTAAAACGGCAAATGAGATTACATAAAACAAAATCTCCTCACTAACCCCTTTCATCTTGTACCACTACATTCTAAATGCATTCTCATATGGTACAACGATATTTTGGTCTCATAAATCATAAGATCTATTACAATTACCCAGGTAAAGGAATATTTCTGTGCTTGTATTCTTCAATTTCACATCATCCTGATCAGATACATATCCACCGATACAAGGATAATTTTTTTGTTAATCTGTACTTAGACACAACCCACTGTTGTAGTGTTCATCACTTTAGAATCCTTTCAGTAATTCAGTGAAGAGAAAAATATAAATATGACAATATTTTTCATAGAAATCTTCACCCCAATTTCCAAATATACTAGAAATATATCTATATGCACCTGTTCCCAATCTGTTGGAAATTGAACTTCACACAAAGTCTATGAAGTAGAAAAGATCAGTCATAATGACCAACATTTGATATTCCGGTGTAGTACTCCTGAAGATGTACTCGCATAAGAAGTAAGTTTCACCACTGTTGAACTCCTAGTACATATTTTAGCGTAATGTCGCTAAATCCTACCGCTTCAAAACTACTGATGGCCGCCAATTTAATAATTCGTGGATTTTAAGTCGCATGATTCCCTACACTGTAAATTCAAAGTCTAACCAAGATGTTAAATAAACCAATGCACCGATGGATTGACAGACAAACCTCATCCACTTTGTTGCAGGAACATTAAACATGTTGCATGTCTATAACAGTGGTTTTTCTCAGGGAACTCCAGCTTTCCTCCACCACCAAAACCTGGCACATCCTTAAATGACCATAGCCGTTAACAGGACGTAAAAAACACAAACAAACCAAACTTTAACAAAACTTAGATGAATTGAAAAGACTTGTGACTAATGGGATGCTTTCCTAAAACCTACCCTTTCCTTCAGGAATTCTTAACCTAGTACCTCTGACTTACGTGTTCTCCTGCCTTGTTGTTAACCATAGATTTTGTAAGGACTTTTGTTCATAATTGCAGTTGAACTGGGTTTACTCCCTTCCATCCCCCTATTTCAACACATACAGGAATTTTACAATTTCTTAACACACTCAGTAACCTTGGTGAAAGATGATAGAGAAAATGATGGAATGTTTCAATCTCAGAGAATTTCTAGCTTTGTACAGTTTATCTCCGAGTCTGTGATCAGATCAAAACTAATCAGGTTTCTCCACAATCAAGTTAGAATGTATCCAATCGGTAAAGAAAGAAGGAAAATAGCACAAAGATCCTGTCAGGCTGAAGTGCTTAAGTTTTTTTATGAATAAATATACATTCCCATCTATATTCCTCCTCAATATATTTCAGGAATCCAACTCTCCATGACGGACTTCAATAATCCCATTCTCCCCAACAGTCTTACTAATCCCATTCGCCCCAACAGTCCCAGGAATAGAATTCTCCTTAACAATCTCCTAGAACAATTCTTTTTAACAGTCCCCAGGAATCCAATTCTCAACAGTCCCAGGGAATTGAATTTTTCTAAACAATCTCCAGAAATTCTGTAATTAAATTTTCCTTACAATTAATAGGAATCCAATCTTGCTAAGCAATCCCTAGCAGTCCACTTTTTCACACCAAAGAATCCAATTCTCCACAACTGTATACAGGCTGCAGAAATACAATATCTTCTGCAGGAACCCATACATTATGTAACAAGAACACAAATCAAGTTCGAGACATTTTCACCTGGAAATATGTGTATAATTGTGATAAAGTAGCTGTGACCTTCTGGCTATACACGTAGCTGTTATGACAATAACCTGTATTGTGTAACTACCTTTGTTAGCACTGTTAATGGTCTCTCAGGAAAAATGATCACACGTTCATGAATCGCTCAAATAATATTTTCCTGCTATGTACAAAAACACAAACAGAATGATTACTGAAAATACCCTTAATATTTTATACTTCATGTTCATCAGTTTTACAACAACTACCCTGATTGTACAGGATCCGGAGTGACATAAATACAATCATACAGACAGATCAGGTAGCATACCGTAATACACTGTACCTCAATAAACAATGACTGTTACCTTGCACAAGTCACAGTGACCTATTTCTCATGTAAAGCCACAGTGACCTACATCCTGTACAAGTCACATCGACCTACTTATTGTGTAAAGTCACAGTGACCTACATCCTGTACAAGTCACATTGACCTACTTATGGTGTAAAGTCAGTGACCTACATCCTGTACAAGTCACATCGACCTACTTATTGTGTAAAGTCACAGTGACCTACATCCTGTACAAGTCACATCAACCTACTTATTGTGTAAAGTCACAGTGACCTACAACCTGTACAAGTCACATCAACCTACTTATTTTGTAAAGTCACATTGGCCTACTTATTGTGTAAAGTCACAGTGACCTACATCCTGTTCAAGTCACATTGACCTTCTTATCATCCTGTACAAGTCACAGTGACCTTATTATCATGTGAAGTCAGTGACTTACATCCTGTACAAGTCATGCTTGGTAACCTACTAATCAAACGCAAGTGGCAGTAACTTTTGCCGTGTATAACACATTGTTCTACATCCGCTGAAAGTCACAGTGACTTTATATCCTCTGAAGTGGGTGACCTTTATATCCTCTGCAAGTCTGTAACCTAAATCATGTACAAGTCACAGTGACCTATATCCTCTGAAGTTGGTGCCATAAGTATCATCTGCAGGTCATAGTGATCTTGTAACTTCAAAAATTCAGTTATCTTTTACAGATAATGATGAAAATAAACACAAATTCAGCTTTGTGTCTTTCAAGTTCATCATTCCCAAATCAGCCAATGGCACCTTCTCTAAGTAGAGGCTCCTCGAAACAATAAGAACCTATATCCAAAACTACATCTGTTGGAAATAGCTTATTCACTCATTTCATGGACTGACCTCTAAATAAAGAAAGTGATGAACATAAATTTGACACATTGAACTGTCTGAACTTTCCCGAGTAACAATGTTGTCATGATCATCACAGTGTCCTCCAGTAAAACAACAATTCACCACTCAAATCACTTCATGGTATGGGAGATCTTCCAGGAAGGTGATGAGATGTGGCCTCAGAACAGTATTTGGTATAGGATTCTAGCGACCTATATTTTGTGTCGAGACACTAGTATTATAATGAATTGTATGATCACAGTGACCTATATGTGACACAATCTGGTATAGGTACTGTATGACTTATACAGTGACCTATACTCTATGCTGGGACACTCTGAACTTATCACCACACAATCAAACGTTTAAGGTGACTTGTACAACCACAGTCTTGTGAAGTCAGTAAGTTAATACACGTATAAAACACTCATTGAAAACGAGAAGCACCAGAAGACATTAGTTTACACGTTACATGATCACAACAGTCCATGTTTTTCCTTGTAGCGCTGTCGTGCTGTTGCCATCATCAGTTTCTTCCGGTCTTCTAAGGATACCTGCCGATCTGGTGCTATTCGTGAAAATGTGTTGGATTTGTATTTTTGTTGCGATGCCTGAAAACCATAAAACATATTTGCATTTTTAACTTCACGTGTTGTATCTGTATTTTTGTTAACCCTTTCACCCCTATTTAACTTCAGTAGACACTACCATGCATTGATACAGACAAGTCTATTATGGTTTACAGTGGTGAAAGGGTTAAGATACCTGAAAGAAATGCTAAAACTATTTTTGTTCTATCAAACTTTATCGCACTTGAAATATCAATTTGAATAATTTTATCTGAAGGTGTTTCACTCATTTTGTTTTTTAAAGGAATGATTGTCCACTTTGTATGTATCACTATCTTTACAAATTCTAGACTGCCAGGTTACATTTGTAATGTTTAATATTTTGTTTCATGTGAAAGCAGCATAAATCAAAACTTCGGTAATATTATAAACATATCTGTTGTTTACTGTCTTTGCTGCTGTTACTGTAGAAAATGCCTTATACTTACACAAATGCCTGTTTTTAAATTGCAGTCAATTTGAGGCGACTCTTTCGTATCTGGTTTCTTTGTATCTTCTGATATGTTTCCTTCCAGTATATTAGTAATTGTTGTATCTACATCTTTGGTATTTTCTATAACAAGAAAAACAATTGCATTTAATTTATATTCAAGATTTTAATATTTTGAACTTAAAAATATCATATTTATGGGCGGATTAGTCGAGTGGTTAACACTCCGAAGCAGACGGCCGGGGTTCGATCCCCGAATTCGCCATAAGCATGGAATATTAGAGAAAGTGTTTTTCTCCTGCCCACACAACTCCAACAACCCAGGTGGAGTATAAAATGGTCTGGGGTGGGTGTTGCGGTACCTGTGCTGTAGCATTCAAGTGAGGTGGCACTATAAATGATACCGTTGGAAGCACGGTCCCACTTCAAACAGAACACAATACATCCCCAGCACACACACATAGGGAGATATTAGCCAGGTGGCATAGGACTAGAAGTTAGCGCCTGATAAGGCAGCTCCTGCGAATTCCTCAATATTGTATTGATTAATATATATTCTAATTGTATTGACTGTATAAAATTGTATATCTATGTACTGTAAAGCGCTTTAGAGTGGCTTATGTTAGCTAGATTGGGCGCTATATCAAATGTTGTATATTTATTTATATTTATGAAAATATTCCCACTGTTTACAGCCCCACTCATCAAGTCATATGTGCATACCCAGATCTTTGATTATTTGAGACATCAACGCTGTAGGCAGCACGCCCTTCACTTGCTCAGCCATCTTTTTAATCTCAGGACTAGTATTAACAGAGTTGTCTCCACTTGGCTGACTCCCTGTCATGCCATTACCGGTATCTCTTTGACCTGTCATGAGGGAAAATAATCTAAAATAATATTCTGAAACAAAGGACAACAATTTGAGACACATCACACCATTCTTTAACAAAATCACATCATCTTGTCAGACAAATTAAAAAAAAATCAGATAATCAACAAATTTCTATTTTAAAAGACTTTTATGAAAAATGCTTCCAATTTACCTGTAATGTAATAACGTGTACTTGTAAAATTTGAACAGTATTTTGTAAAACTACTTCAAATATCAGAGTTGTAAAACATGAAACAAATGATACATTTCTGTGGTACTCCGTGAACTAGGACCACCTACTTTGCGCTGCCAGAGCTGCCTGTTTACGCTGAGCCTGATCAGTGAGGAGACGCTTGAGGTACTCTGTCTTGTCTCCAGCATTGTAATTGGTGGCAGGTACTCCCAAACTTGTAGCAATCTTCTTCCTCACGCGCTCCCCAAACTCCTCCGCCTTCTCATTATCCTCTTGTTCTACCGGCTCCAACAACCTGTGTGTCAAGATTATATATACTTATCTATCACTTTTTTGAAAAAGAGTTAGAAATTACTTTAAATAGCTCATCATTTAAAGATCCCAGCAATTTCTTCCAATTCACGTTTATCAAACTCAATTTTTGTATGACATAAGCCATGATTTAGGGATAATAGGACCTGGCAAATGGCAAACGCGTTTCGTAAAATCATAAAGATGGAGATAACCTCCATCTTTCCTGCAATTATTTTGTCAGAATTCCGTACTGAAGAGACGTTTTATCTTATTAAAATACTGTAAAGTAAGAAAAAAGAAAAAAAACACTTACCTGAGCTTAAATATTGTGTATGGGTAGAAAAGAATCCAAAAATATTCACTCAGTCTTGTGCTGTCAATTGTAGACTGAAATTGAGAAATACAGATGGTATTGGATGGTGTTGTCTACCAAGCAAGTGCTCATGGAATATACATTTTTGACGATTTTCCCCAAAAAATAAGTGCGTAATACATCATTTACAAGAAACGGCTCATGTACATCTGTAAAACAGCATCAAACATTACATGCACATGGACAGACTGTTCCAGTGATAATGCCATTGTCCTTCAAAGTCTTTCATTGTGCAAGCGTGAAGTAACCAAATACCCATCTCCTGCTCACAGGGATCAGGCATCATTATAAAAATAATCAGATAGCTCTCAAAGTTACAGGTCCTGTACATATTTCAATGACTCATAATCAGATTAATCATAGTATGGTCAGACAAATCTATACTTAAAACTTACATTTCAGAAATAACAGACAATTTCAATTCTGTCAGTCATTCTGATCTCAAGATTATTTTTGATGGTGTGGTGAATTTCAGTGGAGTTATCTCCCTTGGACCATGGACCGCGCCGACACAAGATCTCGTGAGCTACGCGACAACATCGCTGTGACGCGTTGGCGCGGTCTCTAATACTTCTTGATATCGAACCAGCAACACGTGAGTGAATTTCCTCCACCTTGTCTTTGATTTCAGGAGCTGAGAGCGTTTGCAACTACTTGTTTCGACGGTGTGTGAATAACACACACCGAATTCACGACAATTGGTGTCAGAAGTGGGATAGAACTCACGCTATTTGCGCTAATTTGACATTTTTTTCCATATATTTTTTCTACCTTGCTGGTCCCCTCTCGCTCACACGTGCGCTGGCCATTTTGTTGACCAGTGCGCGAATTACGAGTGAGAGATTTTGGGACAGTTCTAGCAGTTTATTATTGTTTATTTAATTATTGATTAGGGGTAATTCAGAGTCGGCGGTGTTTTCACTGCCGTTCTGAAATTTATATTGAATTTAATTTAGTTACTTGTTAGGTTTACTATAGCACCGTTGTTATATGTCCCTGTACATAATTTTGTAATTGTTTAATTAAGTGTGTTGACTTATTTCTTTCTTGGAACTTTATATTTTGTCATGGCTGTCATAAATATACGGACAGCTACAGAAGATGAGCTGTGCACGTTGGAGGGTTTAGGCCCCGCGACGGCACAGAAAATCTTGAGTATAAGAGATGATGAGGGGCTCACTCTGCAGAAACTGGTGACTGTTTCCAGAGTGGGCATTGAGAAGTGGCAGAAATGGCTAAGTGATGGGGTCATCCTGGGCATAATGGTCACTGCCCCTGTGGAGGCGCAGTCACCAACCCGGTCGACCTCATCACGGGCAGATAGGCTAGACAGACAGGAGGACGAGGTTATGGACATAAAGCAGGAAGTTAAGGAACTGCGGGTCCAATTCAGGGAGTTAATGGTAACATTGGAGACGGAGGCTCTTAGAAAATCAGAGAGTCTGGCGGCTCGTGCTGCCTCGCCTCCGAAAAAGAGCTCTACTCCCGGCACTATGCTACTGACTACACCTAGTGGTGGTCAGTATGTCAGCCGGAGGCCACAAATAAATAGCTGGTCACCCTGGGGGGATAGGTGTACCACTCATGCTACCTCAACCTCCGTGCCACCATACTCGAACTCGCAGACAATGATTCCTAAACAGAAGGAGTCAGAGTTTGACCCTATCTTACAAGCTATCCCGAAGGATGGAAGGTATGTAAGGGGTCAAGATCAGGGTGCCCATGTATCAACATGGACAGCTGGAGGTGCCAATGCACCCATTGCACCCATTGCTTCTAAGTGGGGGTTTAAGCTGGAATCGGCCCCAAAAGTTGAAGGGGAAATGAGTCTGCCCTTGTCATGCCTATCATCGGACAATGAAAAGGGGGCTGACTTCCTGTTGGAAGATGTCAAGCCTAGTTTGACGCCTCGCAAGCAGGGAGGGGGGAATTATCCTGGGGGATATGACCCTTCACAGCCAGCTTTTCAACATAGGGGGGGTAACATACCCCCAGGCAATAGGCTGCCATACACCAATGGCGGGATAAGTAACTATCCCCTGTTGGGGCACATAGACACTCAGTTAGGGCAAAATCAGGTTAAGATAGAACAACATACTATTCCTGCTCATGGTCTGCCTTTGGCCGTTGCCGGTGCTTACGCGAGGGTGCCCTTAACCAGCACAAATTGTGGCGTAACCACACCGGCGCGTGCTACCTGGGAGGAGAATAGAAATAGACGGACCCGCGACAGGTTGGACAACGAACGTCCTGCAAGGCCCACGCATCGCGTCCTCGGTGAGCGACATGTGCGCCAACCACAAGGCACGCGCCGTGCGCCTACAAGGCGCAGACGTGATGATTCGTCAGAGAGCGACGAATCCGACCCCGATTTCTCCAGTGAGGGAGAGGGGGACAGCAATACAGATTCAGGGGACTCCTCCGACGACTACCAGAGGCATCGTCAAAGGAGTAGGAGTCCTCAGCGACATAAGATGCCCACTTACTCGGGTAAAGAGCGCTGGGAGCCATTCGCTCTTAAATTCACCAGGATAATAAAAGACAGTAGATGGTCAAACAGTAAGACCAAACAACGGTTTTTGGATTGTCTGGTGGGTGATGCGTTGGAGTAGGCAGATAAACTCCCACGAACTCTTGGGTTCGCAAAACTCAAGAAAAAGATGAAGGAACGGTTTAGCGACAAGGACGTCCCAGTAGGGAGCTAAACTTCACTAGACAAGAGGAGAGTGAGAGTTTGGCAGAATTTGCTCAGCGGATTCAAACCATTATGGGGGATGGCTTTGCCCACGCAGACACCACCACCAGGAACCAGATCGCTACGGAGGCATTCCTCAAAGGCTGTCGCGAGAAGATGGCAGCACAGAGAGCCATGGAGAAGAATCCCAAGACGGTTCACAAAGCTCTGAAATACATAAAGGCCTCCGTGGCCAATCAGCGTGCTTTGTTTGGTCTCTCGCGCGCCGCACTACCCTAGTAGTCAGGTAGAGTTTGCGGAGGGCACTAAGTCGGGGGATGATAAAGTAGAGGAAGCCCCTGTACAGTTTTCAAAAGATGAGCTACAGGAGCTAAAGAAATACCTGGCCCGGCTTAGTGCGGGCGGCGTATCTGCCCGTCCGTCTTCTCCTCCACCTCGGGGTGACTACCGATCTCCGGAACGCGACCGAGGGTTCCCTCAAAACTATGGGGGAAACCGATCTCCGGATTATCGTGATAGGACAC